CCCCGCCTATCGGCGGGGCGCGGCGGCACGCACGACCGCCTCATGCCCCACCCCGCGCCAGGCACGGCCGGGCGCCGCCTCGTCGCGCTGCGCGCAGGTGCGGCGGCCGCCCACGGCTGCGGGCCCCCCACCTGGAAGTGGCGCCCCAGCTTGTCCTTGAAGCCGGCGTTGGGCGGCCAGTCCTTCACTTTGAGCAGGCTGCGCAGCTGCCCGCCCTCTACCTCCTCCTCATCATCCTGGTCCTGCTGCTGCTGCTGCTGCTGCTGCTGCTGCTGCTGCTGCTGCTGCTGCTGCTGCTGCGACGGCGCCGGGCCAGCGCGCGTGGGGGCGCCGCTGCCGCCGCGTGTGTCCTCGCCCTCTTCTTGGGAGCTGCCTGGAAACGCGTACACGTCAGCATACGGCGCGTAATGCTTGGCTGTGAGGGGCGGCGCCCCCTGCTGCTCCCCGTGATGGACCCCGTTCTCATGCTGCTGCTGTTGCTGTTGCTGCTGCTGTTGCTGCTGCTGTTGCTGCTGCTGTTGCTGCTGCTGTTGCTGCTGCTGCTGATGATGGCTTGGTGGCCTGCCCTCGTCGCCATCTGTCCCGCCCCGCCCAGCCCCCGGTTCCCCATGCGACCGCGGCAGCGGCGGCGTCCGGGCGCGTGCGGCAAAGGCAGCTGCGTCGTCGTCCGGCTGCGACTTGTACCTGCGAGGGGGAAGATTTCGGGCAAGGTGGGGCGGCCGGCCGGGCATATGCACATCGTCTATCAGAAGACACGAACCAGGGAACCGCCACACAGCGCCCACCCCCATTTTGCTGCATTCAGGCAAACCCCTTCCAGCTCAAGCTACCCCAGAGCGGGCCGGCCCAGCGGCAAATGTACAGCGAGTCCCTGCGCGCGGGGGACGCGAGGCCGACGGCCCCCGCTGCTGCCGCTGCTGGCCGCGCGCACGGCTGGCCGACGGCGGCGGCTGCGGAGCGCGAGGGGTTGGGGGTCGCTCACCCCTGGAAGAAGGCGAGCTCTGACATTTCCATCTCCTGCCAGTCCCTGCAGTCCAGCACGGCGAGCTGGGGGCGGCGGCGGCGGTGGGTGGGCAGGTGGGGAATGACCGTCAGGCTGTGAGTGTCTGCGAGGAAGAGGCTGAGTGAGGGAGCAAGTGGATGTTCACGCACGGACACATGCACACACACATACACAAACACACACGGGCCCACACACGAATGCACAAACACACACATGCATGCTCGTGTGCACTTGTGCAAACCCACACACGCCACACACACACACACACCTGCAAACACCCGCACACACACCCACCAACACACCCACAAACATACACACACGCACACTTCAACCCCCCATGAACCTTGACATCGCGGTTGCCCTTGAGGTCCCGCGTGGCACGAGTCATCGTGTCGGGGTCCCACTGGATGCCGCGGCCCTGCGCTCGCGCAGACAGCGAGGACGGTGGGTTTGTTGCTGTTGATAGTACACTTGCGGCAGCCAGCGGCGTGGCGCCCCTGGGGAGGGCGGCAGGGCGCACGAGGCGTGCGTGCACGCGTGCATGCGTTTGCAAGGCGTTTGCAAGGCGTCTCCTGGTGCCGCGGATCGCCAACCCATTTGCCGCCCGTCTTGCTGCGCCTAAGCGCTGCCCCTGTGCCTCTGGCAATCTCTGGTGGGCCGCCCACCTCGCAGCCCCGCACTATGACGGGCTCCCCTCTCTCCCAGCAAGCCCAGAAGAGGGCCGATGCAGCAGCATAGTGGGGAGATCCGGGGCTGGCAAAGTGCGGGGG